GTGTATGACGCTGGCTGGTGGTTTGGGAGGCCTAGGTTCCCTCTATCACCCGGCCTTTTGCGGAATGTGTACGTATAAGCCTACTGCTGCGGCTGCTTCAGGTTCCGGTAGAGCTCCTACTGTTTCGTCGCCTCCTTCAGTGCTCAGTGCTCCCATGACGTCTTCACAAGCTCTACTTACTACTGCCATAGGAACCCAGTCATCTGGGATCACCATAGGCTCAGTAGCACCTTCGACGATGTCTATAGCTCAGCCATCAGCTGTAAAGCTTGCCATAGGGCCTCCAGCAGCCTCTGGTCTCGTCCTAGGGCCTCCAGCAGCGCCGAGTCTCGCCCTAGGGCCTCCAGCAGCCTCTGGTCTTCCCCTAGGGCCTCCAACAGCCCCTAGTCTTGCCCTAGGTCCTCCAACAGCCCCTGGTCTTCCTCTTCCTGTCAGTCTTCCTCTTGGGTCACACATTTCGGCTTCTTATCTGAGTAGTTCCTCTACTTCGCCTCCTTCTTCGACTACAACAACCACGGCGCCTACGATAAAGAAACCCGTTCCTCTTCAAGCCTCAACAGCCAGCAGTCTGGTAGCTCTTCGTGCCCAAGCTTATTAAGCGTAGTTTACAAGCTTAGAGCAGTTATTTTTTACCTCAGCTTATTCATAGACTTGGAGCTGTTATCTTAGCTCGTTTAGAAGATAAAAGCTTCGTACCTCAGCTCATTTCAAAGCTGAATCCTAACTAAGCTATACCTAGTTTTAAGTACGGTTCTATCTATGGTATGATACCATCCTTCACGATGCTACCCACAACAGTCAACTAACACCCAGGTATACCTGTTTACAGATAGGTAAACAGTAGTAGCACGTTTTAGGAGACTTGTTCATACGTCTTCCCTGCCCAGGATGCCACACACAACAGCTACCTATCACCCAGGTACCTATTTACTGCTAGGTGAACAGAAGCAGCAGGTGTTAGGAGACTAACACCCAGATACCTACTTACTGCCAGGTGAACAGAAGCAGCAGGTGTTAGGAGACAAACACATTTTGCTCCACCTGGGAATCAAATTAAGATCCTGTAATCAAATCAAGGACCTGTAAAAAATACCAGAACATCAGAAGGCTTATAAGGTTGAGATATCACCTCACATACAACCTTACACCCGCCTCAGTAAGAACCGCAAGATCTTCCACTCAGATCCAGGTCACCTTCTAGATCTTCCACTCAGATCCAGGTCACCTTCTAGTCATTCAGGTTTTTACCGATGTTTTTCACAACTAGGATTTCTGTGTTGTGACTGTTTATATACAGTGTCGTCCACTGGAGCAGCACACTAAGAAACCACTGGAAATATCCCTAGTGGTCAATATTGTATAGACAAAGTATCCCTCATTCAGTACCTTAGCATTCAGCATTTTACATTTTTGAAATATTGTATAATGAGAACCTTTATTGACAACATTTCGCCACTGCGTTGGCGAAATGTCGGCAAAGGACCACATTTCATCGCATTTATCCAGTGTGACTATTTTAAAAACCTTTTCTATCCATCTAACATTGTTGTTTAAAAGTTGTGTGACCCGGCAAAGGACTACATATAAAGGAAGGATATGATTTAGCGACGCCATTACAGTGCCAGGCTCTTTCGGCGACAGACTCTTCAGCTCCAGGCCGTCTCAGCGCCGTTCCGTGGGGTAGACTACGATTTAGAACCGCCTATCCTAACCTAATCTAGCCTAAACTAACCTGACCTTACTCAACCTAACCTAACCTAAACTAACCGATCCTAACCAATCTAACTATGGTGGCGCTGAATTAGGCCATCCCGTACATTTAGACTCAAATTATCGTAGTTTTACGCCAACTACCCAACTACAAGCCGGTTAAGTAACATTTACTTAGAGGTTGCTACGAGTGGCTACTATACCAGCACTACGAGATGGATCTCACCATCAAGACTACCATAAACCGTGACGATAATAAAGACGACAACAGGGACAGCTAGTCTCCGAATACACCAAGAAGATCCCTTCTTCCCGAGGTCTTGAAGACACCAAGAAGATCCCTTCTTCCCGAGGTCTTGAAGACACCAAGAAGATCCCTTCTTCCCGAGGTCTTGAAGACACCAAGAACATCCCTTCTTCCCGAGGTCTTGAAGACACCAAGAAGATCCCTTCTCCCCGAGGTCTTGAAGACACCAAGAAGATCCCTTCTCCCCGAGGTCTTGAAGACACCAAGAAGATCCCTTCTTCCGAGGGTCTTGAAGACACAAGAAGATCCTTCTTCCCGAGGTCTGAAGACACCAAGAAGATCCCTTCTTCCCGAGGTCTTGAAGACACCAAGAAGATCCCTTCTTCCCGAGGTCTTGAAGGCACCAAGAAGATCCCTTCTTCCCGAGGTCTTGAAGACACCAAGAAGGTCCCTTCTTCCCGAGGTCTTGAAGGCACCAAGAAGATCCCTTCTTCCCGAGGTCTTGAAGGCACCAAGAAGATCCCCTCTTCCCGAGGTCTTGAAGACACCAAGAAGGTCCCTTCTCCCCGAGGTCTTGAAGACACCAAGAACATCCCTTCTTCCCGAGGTCTTGAAGGCACCAAGAACATCCCTTCTCCCCGAGGTCTTGAAGACACCAAGAAGATCCCTTCTTCCCGAGGTCTTGAAGACACCAAGAACATCCCTTCTCCCCGAGGTCTTGAAGACACCAAGAACATCCCTTCTCCCCGAGGTCTTGAAGACTACTGTACAAGACATACGATACTCCCCTACCTGGGGAACCAATAATAACAATCTTTCTACTAGGGGTTTAAAAGAAGGAAGAACATTAATGTTCTTTCGTTCTTATGACGCTGCTGTTATTGCTACCAAATTAGGTCAATTTTGTTCCCAGGATGCGACCCACACAAGCAGACTAACACCCAGGTACCTATTTTACTGCTAGGTGAAGAGTGACAGCAGGTGTCTTAAGAAAACACGCCCCTAATGTTTTCACCTGTACCGGAGATTGAACCACGGACCTCAGTGTGTGAGCTGAGTGCGCTACGAACCGAACCGGGTCACCCCATGGAAAAGACCCGTCCTGGGATCATACCGGCGAACCACTTCGATCATGAACTTGGAATTTAAATTTGAAAACACACGATACTATACAAGAGAGAAACGTTCAGAGATATAAATAAGACCGTCCGAAACATCGTCATTATTGTAAGATTATCTACGTACACGAACATTATAACGCATGCGTGATGTATAGCGGTAATTTCGTACATTTAGTGAACTGAAGTGAAGCCAGACTCACTCCTGGGTAACAGCAGGCAATCAGGCTTGATCCCAGGATGGGAATGGTTAGTCGCAACTCCATGGATCAAGAACCCCTCGTTGATAACTTGTGGAAACTGAAGATCGATTCCTAATGCAGTCGAAGTTTGAATCAAGAATATAACAAGATATTTTAAACTTGATAATACCAAAGATAATTATGGAAGCTGTTTAACTTAAATAGGCATTAAACGTTATTATTATTATTATTATTATTATTATTATTATTATTATTACTATTATTATTATTATTATTAGTAAGCAAGGTATATATGATGGTCACTGATGTGCCATTGCTGACTCCACACTCTTTAGTGCCGGTATTCTCTACGTTTCCTCTATCATTTACCCCCTCGGCTGTATTTCTCCATTTACCCATTCCAAAAAAGGGACAGAAAAACAAATATTTACCCTTTGTCATGTGATGTTTTACCCCCAAGGGGTAACTTTACCCCTGGTTGAGAATCACTGTAGTTTAGTGAGCCCCTGGAGGGCCCCGTGTCAAAGCGTGAACCTAACGAATATAGAGAGATTTAATATTATATATATGAGTACAACAGACAGTATTATGGGTAACTAAAGTGTAATAAACACTAAAGATTAGTCTGGGATCTTCCGCTGAAGAGGAACGCAGAAGTGAATCGAAATATACAAATCAATTAATCTCCCGACTTTGTCTCCATGTGGGTCATTACTCACTCACGAAATCGTAATGACACGATTGCAAACAAACCAATCGTTTTGAGACTCTCTGATCGCGAGTTCTATCCCTGCCCGTGGTATGGTTTGCTTATTACTGAGCATACAGCATTATATCTATACAAGTATATATACACTGAGGGGGTGTATATACACTGAGGGGTGTATAAACAATAAGAGATTACTTTAATCCCTATTTTAGGTATCAGGGCATTCTTGACTGGTGGTAACAGGTGACAATGTAGCCTTAATGACCCTCCTGTAGTCGACGGGATATAAATGCTATTACCCAATTAGTTAAGAACCTCTTAGCAAGTACTAATGTCACGGTGACCTTGATGAAGGATGGAGTACACACCTGGATGAATGATGGAGTACACACCTGGCTGAATGATGGAGTACACACCTGGCTGAATGATGGAGTACACACCTGGCTGAAGGATGGAGTATAGACCTGGCTGAAGGATGGAGTACAGACCGGGCTGAAGGATGGAGTACAGACCGGGCTGAAGGATGGAGTACGCACCTGGCTGAAGGATGGAGTATAGACCTGGCTGAAGGGTGGAGTACACACTGGCTGAAGGGTGGAGTACACACCTGGCTGAAGGGTAGAGTACACACCTGGCTGAAGGATGGAGTACAGACCGGGCTGAAGGATGGAGTACAGACCGGGCTGAAGGATGGAGTACACACCTGGCTGAAGGGTGGAGTACACACCTGGCTGAAGGGTAGAGTACACACCTGGCTGAAGGGTAGAGTACACACCTGGCTGAAGGGTAGAGTACACACCTGGCTGAAGGGTAGAGTACACACCTGGCTGAAGGGTAGAGTACACACCTGGCTGAAGGGTAGAGTACACACCTGGCTGAAGGGTAGAGTACACACCTGGCTGAAGGGTAGAGTACACACCTGGCTGAAGGGTAGAGTACAGACGTAGAGGCTTCAGAAGGACACTTACAACAGAGCAAGCCCTCTATTAAAGATATTTTAGCGGTCATGGCGTTTTATCAGCAAGTCTTAGAACGAGTGTTGAACTGTCTCCGTGGAGTGACCTGTAGCCTGTACATCACTGAACACCCTTACATTGTGACACCGTGGAGTGACCTGTAGCCTGTACATCACTGAACACCCTTACATTGTGACATCGTGGGAGTGACCTGTTAGCCTGTACATCACTGAACACCCTTACATTGTGACACCGTGGAGTGACCTGTAGCCTGTACATCACTGAACACCCTTACATTGTGACACCGTGGAGTGACCTGTAGCCTGTACATCACTGAACACCCTTACATTGTGACACCGTGGAGTGACCTGTAGCCTGTACATCACTGAACACCCTTACATTGTGACACCGTGGAGTGACCTGTAGCCTGTACATCACTGAACACCCTTACATTGTGACACCGTGGAGTGACCTGTAGCCTGTACATCATGAACACCCTTACATTGTGACACCGTGGAGTGACCTGTAGCCTGTACATCACTGAACACCCTTACATTGTGACACCGTGGAGTGACTGTAGCCTGTACATCACTGAACACCCTTACATTGTGACACCGTGGAGTGACTGTAGCCTGTACATCACTGAACACCCTTACATTGTGACACCGTGGAGTGACCTGTAGCCTGTACATCACTGAGCACCTTACATTGTGACACCGTGGAGTGACCTGTAGCCTGTACATCACTGAACACCTTACATTGTGGACACCGTGGAGTGACCTGTAGCCTGTACATCACTGAACACCCTTACATTGTGACACCGTGGTAGTGACCTGTAGCTGTACATCACTGAACACCCTTACATTGTGACACCGTGGAGTTGACCTGTAGCCTGTACATCACTGAACACCCTTACATTGTGACACCGTGGAGTGACCTGTAGCCTGTACATCACTGAACACCTTACATTGTGACACCGTGGAGTGACCTGTAGCCTGTACATCACTGAACACCCTTACATTGTGACACCGTGGAGTGACCTGTAGCCTGTACATCACTGAACACCCTTACATTGTGACACCGTGGAGTGACCTGTAGCCTGTACATCACTGAACACCCTTACATTGTGACACCGTGGAGTGACCTGTAGCCTGTACATCACTGAACACCTTACATTGTGACACCGTGGAGTGACCTGTAGCCTGTACATCACTGAACACCCTTACATTTGTGACACCGTGGAGTGACCTGTAGCCTGTACATCACTGAACACCCTTACATTGTGACACCGTGGAGTGACCTGTAGCCTGTACATCACTGAACACCCTTACATTGTGACACCGTGGAGTGACCTGTAGCCTGTACATCACTGAACACCCTTACATTGTGACACCGTGGAGTGACCTGTAGCCTGTACATCACTGAACACCCTTACATTGTGACACCGTGGAGTGAC